AGTGCGAGTCGCTCATGAAAGAATGATCAGGCGCGCTTCATTCCAATGTTGATGACACACTTTCTCAGCCTAAAGTGCAAATGTTTATAAGCGGAACAGGAAAGCCGAACGCCATAGTGACTTAGAAGGGCGCAGGCATATTTGCAGTTCAGTCATTCACCGTCTCACACGGCGCCACGCGTTGTGAGTTGCACTGTGAGGATAAACGATGTTCCTGGATCTTTTTCCTCTCTTTCGGTCAACGATCCTTCGATCGTCTCGGGCCGCTCTACGGTCGGAGGTGCCCCGGCACTTCTCACGGTCTTGGTGCACCGCGGAGGTTTAGCCAGCTGGCGACAGCCGGAGATCCCCAGCTTCGCTCTCGCAGTCTGCTCTATCATCATTACACGACGGTCTCTCGATCCTCGATACTAAGCAACACCCGCAAGTGAGGCCTTACGCCGTTCATGTCATTTTGGAATGGCCGCGACCGAGCGCCGCTCATGTAACGCATTGCGCTGTGATACATCGCAACCTGCTTCTTCCTCCGGTCGAGCGCGTCAAGTCAGCCAAGCATGGCACTGGGTACCCGGCTGAGCCTGTGCTCGCGGCTGCATGTCTTTGGCACGAGCAGGTAAGGGCCTGCGGTGTTTCAGATCTCATCGAGGTCAAGCACAAGAGTCGCAGCCTGGCACACAAGTATGTCAGACAACAGCGACGGGGAAAACTTCAGTGGATTCACGAATGATGGAAAGAGCTTCTTGGGGACGGCTTTTTGCTTTCTCACTTCTTTGCTTTCGGAGTAGGTCGTGACAGAAGAGACTTTCGATGACCCCACCGCAGTAGTATACCTAGCGCCAGCTGTCATGATCGACTCGGCTACAGCGGGGGAGCGATCTAAGCTTGCAAGTCAGGGGGAAGCCGGAAGAGGCAAAAGGTCAGCGCGGCGATCACGAAATCGCGAGTGTTGACGCTGTGCGAGTAGACGAAGCCCGAATCACGAATATTCCACGTACACCTTTGAGTGTGTTGCCCTTCGTCAAGACTACTTGCCGCAGAGGTACTTGCTGGCCGCGCACTCAAGGCCACAGCCATGCTCGATTAGCGCGGTGCAGTCGTAGCAAGGACCATTCGGGCCTGCGTAGTAGCACGTGGCGCCGCGCTTGTACACTGCATGCGTTCGAGTATCGGGAATCACGGAGGAAACAGTCGTCAGCTTCGATGCTACTACTAACCTCTTAGTCTGTCGAGCAGCCTGGGGAGTTGGGCGCGCAATTGAGGCAGGTGACTTCGTATCCGTAGGCACAGTCGTAGCATTTTCCGCCCCTCTGATAATCGGCATAGCACGTGTAGGTCAATTGGCGCACTGTGACTGAGCACGAGTAAAGAATCATGTGCGCAAGCCATGTTGCTCGTCAGCGACTGACCCTCAACGCCCCTCTAGTCGTAAGCGATGAACGCGCAGTGGCGACAGGAGACTATATCGCCAGTGCCCAAAGATAGCAGCTCTCTGGAGCCACGTCGATGTGCTCTCGCTTTGCTCGTTCTACGCTGTGCACGCGCATCAATGTCCCCATATGGCAGGCAAGTTGGCTAGTCTCGATGCGACTAACCTTTGAGCCCTTCTAGCAAGATAAGGAGCTGTATGCGCAATTCTGGCAAGCCACTTGTAGTCCGCTACTGCAAGCTAAGCAATTATGCTGCTCAACGCTGTAGTAGCAGGAGGCACCTTGAGTGTGTCCTGTGCACGAGCATTGGACCATATGCATCAACGAGCTTGCTCGTCACTCTCGTCTGCATGTGCTGGCCGACTGTCATTGCCAAGCGCTGATCCCCCAGCCAAGGCAGTGGAGGATGCAGCCACTGGGAAGATTAGAGCACGGCTCGACGGACGGATAGCTGCTTTGGATCATCTTGTGTCCAGCAGCTCACACGCTCGAAGGGGAAGACAGGAAACCATCAAAGCATGGAGGTCATTCTCTACTCACGCAACTCCGAAGCGCCCTCACGTGCCACGAGCGTAGCTAGAAGGGGCGGCGAAGAGTCTTGGTTCAGTCACAGACGTCGTTCGTCCCACGTTGACTCAGTACTCACTTGGCGCATCCTTGGCGTCTGGCGAAGGGCGGCCCATGGCAGGCGAGACCAAGGCAATGGCAACGACAGCCAGAAGAGCAGCGTTCAGCTTGAAGGCGAGCATCTTGAGTGTGAAGTTGTGCTAGTAGTAGAGTGAGTGCTTCGAGTAAATCTGCTTGGAGAGTGAAGAAAGTGAGGGAGCGTTGAAGGAGCAAAGTTCCCTTCTTTATACCTTGTGCTGGGCTCAGATCGCGCTACGTCCAACCACATGCTGCCAGCGCAGCGCTCCGAGCAGCAGCGCTGAACGAAGATATGGTGTCGCGAGCCTTGTCACTCTGAATGCTGAGATTTGGGTACTTGCACAGCCATATGACTGGCTCACTCTGCTCTTATTGCCCACTTGGTCGCACGGGACGTCGGCGTGGCGTTCATTTGAGCACTTTGATTGCACAAGTGGCATCCTTTTAGCACTTCTGTTTTGATCCGATTGCCACTGGACGGTCCGCGGCCTTGAAAGAAGCGCTTCGCTCATCGATGGTTCAATTGCTGTTGGACGGTCCGCGGCTTTGGAAGAAACAATCGAGCGCTCTTGACGAGTGCTCAACTTGTCTCGGACTCCTGAATCCGTGTCCGTCAAGACGTGAACCTTTGCCTAAGACATCAATGGATGTATAATCAGCAGTAGTGCACTCTAGCGCTGAGTGCACCGACACTGTTTTGATCGTCGCGGTAGACGCTCCGATCACGTCTCGAGGATCAACATTAGCAGCAGCAGCAGCATCAATTCGGGGAGCAATTTAGTGTCTTTCAAGTCTCACAAGTGGCCATCTGTCCCGTCAGCAAAGAACAAGCAGCGACCCACACTAGAGCGCTATTGACAGCCGCAAGTCTCTGTCTCGACCCTCCTGGGTTCAGAAGCCTTTTGTGAGCCAATGGTTGCGAGACTCTGTCTCGCGCTAGTCAAGGGCTGTGTGGCCGCGCGCCAGAGTCTGCAGTGGCGGGTTCTGGCAAGGCTTTGGGCACCCGCCAAGAAGGCAGGGCGAGAGTTTGGAGAAGCAACAGAGTGGACAGCTCTTGTGTTTCTTGCGGGCGCTGTCAGCCTCACCAAAAGCTGCACGAGCCATCAGAAGGCCGGAATTGACCGCCGTGTAAGGGAGGCGGGTTGCAAGCACTTTGGAGATATCACAATTGGAGGGACGGGAGTGACGGAATGAACAAAATGTCAGCACCGAATGACACGGTAGTATTCTAAATTGATTCTCCCCGCAGCACAGCACAAAGAAGGCACGAAACACAGCCAGTCACAATTGATAGGGCATTACGAGTAAGGTGCTCAAGACGGAAGTAGAGGACGAGTGTGGTTGCAAAGCTGACTTACGCGATGGCTGCACATCCGAAACGACTCCCGATTGACGCGTCTCAAGAGCATGTTCTGTTGCGATCAGGCAGTCCATCTTTTGATTCAGTGGACGCGCCACGCAATTTCCAAAGGGCAAATGGGCCACTCACGAGGAACCGCTCCAGTACTCTTTTGCGAAGACGCCAAGGCAGGGGCAGCGAACGCTGCTGCAGCCAGGACAACGCAGATGCCAAGGTGCAAAAACTTCATTTTCAACGCTGCCTCTGATATTGGTGGGAAGGCTTTGCCGGACAAACGAGGACGAAGAAACTGTATAGCGATGCTGTAAAGGGTCAGCGTTGGGCGCGTCGGTACACTCTAGGCATTCGTGGCACGGGGCCTTATATTGAAATGGTCATTCGCAATCTGGCAGTCTTGGTCTCAGCACTGCACAAATGCCGAGCGAGAACTGGAGAGGTCCCCATGCTGCCTGCGTCTGATGTGCGAGTCCCTTCGTGTGAACGAACATCAGCCCTTGCAACTCGAGCAAAATGCCCGCCGCCGCGAGCCCGTCCTCCTTCCCAGCCTCTCACGTTTTGTCCATTTGGGGTGCGATGCAGAAATCCTTCTCTCACGATCGAGCGTGTGTGTGACGTTGCTAGCTGTGCAACACCGTGTCCAAGAATGGTCGGCTTACGACCTCCACTTGCCGCGTCACATCCCAAGCAAATTGGTTCCACAGAATGGCATAGTCTGAAGCAACACAAAAAATTAATCCAGATTTATGTGGCGCCACGCACCATCAGGATTTGCAGCCACTGGATGAATGGGAGACTACGGCGTCATGCCATGGACAAATGTGACCTCTCCGAACCGTTGGATGTCCGCTCTATTGCGGATCCGTGAGTTGTTCCAAAGCTGCCGGCTGCGTTGCCAATCGCTGACGATAGGCTTCCGTCTCCGGAGACGTCTGGACGGGCTGTGCGTACGGCTTGAGCGTTCCGTAGATTTCGTCCGAGACAATGTCAAACCTTGCCACTTTGCCGTCCGACGTCCACTTGTTTACAGTGATGCGCTTAAAACTATTTTTGTTGGCATCCTGATCATCGAGGGTAAACAGATCACACGTCAAACTTCGTCCTTGGTCCTCTACATCACTTTGCAAGAGACAGGAACGCACCTCGTAATTGGTCTCGGCCCTGGCATTTACCTTGACAGACAGACCTCCTGTGTTTTTGTCGGGTCCCATGTCCACGGATCCGGTTTGCATGACACTCGTCGTTTGCCACTGTGGCTGTGCGTACTTCGGGTCTTCAAGCTGGAGCGAATTGAAGTAAGTGTGGTTTATCTGACACGGCAACGAAGGCAGATTGGCGTTCAGCATCCAGAGCGTCGCTAGCTCCGTTCCGAGCACGATTGTACTTACACTTGTCTTGGTGTAGTCTGGATTGTACGTCACATCTAGCGGGTACGAAAAGGTCGAGGCCAAAAAAGTGGCACCGGCGTGCATCGAATTTGATGATCCATGGGCCTTTTGGTTGATTGTGTTGGCCGCGGAGGTGCTCGCGTACTTCTGCGAGTTTTCAAAGCTGAGCGTCTGCGACCAAATGACGCTGGAAGGGTTTCTGCGGCTCGGTCTTCGAATGCGCGCCTCGATCAGGACCGTGCGAGGTGTCCTTGAGCGGGTGAAGCTCGTGAATGAGCCATTGGTGCTGAGATTACCTTCGACAGAGCCAGTATTGATCAAATCGCCACCTTCGATCACATACTTGTGCAGAGCGCCGGTGGTGCGGCCAGGCACCGTATCCAAGACCACCTGTATGTTGCCCGTGACGAACCAGTATGTGCCCAAAAGACGGTCCTCTTCGCCGCTGACTACGCCAAGCTTAATGTCATGTTCCTGCCCATCGGTCAGAGAACCGAGGAAGGGAGTGATGTCGATGTGGTATGTCGGTTGATTGTAGGCCCCATAAGCAGCTTGAGGTCGCCATATGAGGTTTTGGATTCCGCCGGTGAAGATGACTGGGTACGGCAAGATGATGCCGGCAATTTTGCCATCGATCGACAACTGAAGCTCCCTATAAGGACCGTGCCTAAACATGCCCACGCTGCTGAGATCAGAGGTAGAGCTATTGTAGACCGCATCCGGCAGATTCGTGTACCAGAACTCTTCTTGTGCTGTGCCTGAAGCAAAAATTTCCACAATGGCAGTCGCGGCGTTCGAAGGGAACCTGACTTTGGTTGATCCATCAGTGTCAGACTGGTTGGGCCCACCAAGCTCGAAGAAAGCGTTGTCATCGTCGAAGCCTTTGGCAAGGGGCAAGATCATGGGCGACGCATCTACCAAGGGTGCCCTGATGGCGTTCGCCTTTTCTTCTGAGCGAGGCGCTTGAGGATCCGCGATGGAGACTGTCAGGGACAGCGTTACTGAAGAGGATCAAGAGCAGCTGTGAGTGCCATTCGTGCTGCCCAGGCAGCGCCCCGGTAAGCTCACTATTCAAGTAGCCGGTGTAGGTAGCATCGACAATGTTGGGGTAGTCGAACACGAGATTGCGATCCTGTTTGAACAAGTCAAAGTACTGATCGACCTGCTTCTCAGTGGACCAGGTGGTATCGCTGACATTTCGTGGTTCTGCATTGTCCGTTCGCCAGATCTCCGTGCCGCCAATCTGAACGCTTCCGAGTCTGTCGAATTGCCTGCCAATCGAGACGCCATCCTGTCGCAGGAGTAATCCGCGCCACTGCAATGGATCAGAGAACTCTGCGGGCAACAATTTGGGCGAATACTTGAGGACGGATGGTTTGCCATAGCTGCATTGAGAGCGGCAACCTCAGCTTCACTCGATGGGTGTGCGCAGGTGATGCTACACATGCTCACCTGTTACCGAAGACACGCCTGATGAGGACGATGGTGTGATTTTTGAGTCCATGCGATTCTCCATAAAGCCTGCTGGGAGGCGCTGGCTCAAAGTTGAGTAGAGGTTGCGGCTTCTGCGGCGATGGTGCAGGTGTGGCTGTGGACGATGGCTCAGCTTGCGGTGTTGCGCTCTGAACCGTGCTCGCCCCGCTACCAGTATCTGCGTCCGTGCCTTTGCCGTCATTGGTCTCACCGCCAACCTCCATGATCTCACTTTGCGATCGGAAGCGCGAATTGGAGTGCGCCGTCTTGGAATTGCCTTGCAAGGGATCCTTCTCAGACTGAATGGTCAAGGACAGACTGACGCCCGATGAATACTCTTGCGGCTCGCTCGAGGCAGTGCGCGTGTACAAGATAGATTCCTGAAGAGGCGCTTGGCTGCGTCGGTGCTGCACCAAACCTGACAGACTGGTCGGACGGCGAGCTTCTGCGTGGACGCCAGGAAGCAGGGCGAGACATAGCAGAAGCACCACGAGACCAGTCAGAAGCTGGGACAGTCGCAGCGATCTCGTTGCATTAGGCTTGACAGGAAGGTCGGCCATCTCGATGGATGATGGACGATTGAGAAGCAAGATGCGGGCTTGTGGACCGAGCGGCCGTAATCTTGAATAAGATGTGCGCTGCCGTTGCTGCAGGGTTCTCGACGCGCGTGCGGTGCTGTATAGCGGTAGGTGGCCTAAATGCGCTCCAACTTCTGGTTAGGCCTCTTTGGTGCTTAGAACCACTGAGCGCCTTTTCAATGGAAGTCTTGCTTTGGAGTCACGAGTGGGATTTCGAAGGAAAAGGGGAGAGCTGGGAGAGGGGATGACGGCTCGAGAGACGCAGAGCTATAGCAATCAAAGCTCTGCACATCATATACTGTAGGCGCGAAGAAGGACTGACGCTCTGTGTGCTGCTGCATGCTCCACTCAGACTCTCTCAGCCCCCCGCCGGCAATCCCTCGTCTTCCGACGCTAAGCGCTCGCGCTCGCGCTAGCGCTACCTAATCGAAGAGCCACAGTCAGCAGAGTCTTGAGTAAGTCACGAGTGTTGAAAAGCACGGCAGGAGTCAGGAGTGAGGGAACGGGGTAGCGGGAGCAAGTTTGAGGGGTTGGTCCATATGCAAGACGATATTGACGTTAAGGGTAGAGCGAGGAAGGATTGAATGTTCCACAAAGAGCGGTGTTCCTGATGAGCCGATCCCCAGTGAAGCCAACCTTGCATTCACTCTGACTACTGATTCAGCTCATTCTGTCCTTTTAGTGCTGCTACTACTGCCCTTGACTGCGACTACCTGGGGTGCATCATCACGCCACTCTTCATTCGTTGACTTCGCCGTACATAGAGGAGGCAAGATCGGCCGGAGTCGAGCTCGAGGGGCGGTGCCCCATCCTCGAGATTACGCCAGCCTCGTCCACTCACACTCATTACTCCTCGCTGCGTTGCGTTGCGTTGCCTCACCGCCGTCGCTGTCCGGCCTGCTCAATTTGACGTTTTGTTTCAATTTCCACTCACAAATCAAAATCAAAATGAAATCACAGATCAAGGCCCTCCGTTCCAGATTGCCGTGCTGTGTATGCCCTTCAGCGGTCCCTTGTTGCAGTCATTTTGATTGTGTCTGCAGCAGCAGACGCACGCTCGGCAAGGGGAACGTTAGGAGCTCAAATGCATTCGCATTCTTCCTGGCGCTGGTGGCAGGATGTCCTTCAGCCACTCACCCCTGCCGCAAAGAGACCACAGTCAAGCGCCTGGACACAAGGAGGTCATTGATGGAGATTTAGCAGACTCGAGCATAGAAGCTCTTTTCGCAACGTCTGTCATATCTCACCGAGGAGAGGAGAGCTGTAGGTGCGCACGGCACATGCCTACATGAACATCACGAGACCAATCGACTCACGACTTCGCTATTTGTCTGCGTGACGACAACGGCGGTCATCATTCACGATGGCACGCGTTACTGCGCAAAATGGACCGAGGCAGACCGTCGCCGGTCGCAGAGAAGGCGTCCTGATGGTAGCAAAGCGACTCGTTGTTGAAGAATGAGCTTCGAGCTTGCGAACCACATCGACTCGTCTGAGTCTCGCTCAGTCGACCGGATCACACCACCACTCAAGGCTCTTGCAGATCCGCTGAAGTAAGCGCAGACAAGGCGATTCAGTCCTTAGCCTCCTACACAGTAACCCTCGAGCCTAATGAGCGTACGTACAACATATATCGTAGCTAGGCAGGCGGTGCTGCAGTGATCGTCAAATCTTAGCGAGGTTACGTGTGGTCCAGAAACCTAGCTTCAGCTGCATTCTTGCTTATCTACCGTTCGTACCTCAGCTGATGTACCCGCCCTTACCCCTTCATGTTGGTAGCGGTCTGGGCTGACGGCCGCTCACTACATGCAGCCACTGCTGATGAGACTTGGCCCTACTACAAGCGCACCTCGCGCTTTCAAGTCTCATCTGCGCAGAGACGCAAGCTGACTGACGGTCAGCAGCAATTCCGACTCCGAACAAGAGCGCAGTAGAAAGGAGTCAAGAGTACACAACCTCAAAGAATTGATCCGCCGTTCGCAATGCAAGGCATCCGAGGTCAATTGCTGACGAAACGAGTTGAGGACGCGAAGCGTGCCAGCAGCGGTGCGCGGGATGTCCCAGTTCGCAGCTTTTACGGGCCAAGCACAGCTAAGACAGGGGCCTGCGCTCAAAACACTACTACTACCGTCGATGCTGCAATTGTGAGCCTTGCAGCAGCAAGCAGGCACCCAAAGGCCCGCCAACCGCCAAGAAGCTGCATGCTACACTGGTGCTGCTACACGCATCGAGATTATAGCAGGGGGAAAGAGATTTCAATCGCAAATGGACATTACAACACACACCTACACATGACAGGTCTGGGCGCGAAGAGCAGGCTGGAGAAATTCAGCCGGAAAGAGGAGAGGAGGGGGCAGGGGATGGGTTGTTGCATGGCTGGCAGGCTGCATCATATAGCCTTGAGTCTTGCGATTCGGACTTTTGTCAATTGTCGCCAGGACATGAGTTAGACTCGTGACGCTTCTACCGGCACCGACCCCTTGTGGCAATTTGTAAGCTATCAGTGACCAATCTTCAATCGCGAATGGGGATCGTGAGTCGTGAGTTCGGAATGGGGCATATCTCGAATCAGGAACCTTGGGTATACAGCCCCTGACCCCACGACAGCGGGAATACGTCGTATACCGGTGCATGATGCATCGTGTGACACAAACAGGCTCGTGTGACGGAGAAGTGAAAGTGACAAGATGCAGCTAGTCTTGCCAGCGTACTCACGGGTTATGCTGCCGACAAGGTTTGAACAGGTTGGAGCGACGATGAGCAAGGCGGTGCTGCACTCAGATTCGGCCTTGCGCTTGCGGGAAGAGCGCGGGCCCTTCCTACGCAACCTAGCTAGATGGCGAGCAGCTGCATTCGTGATTGCAAAGGTGGTCTGCGACGATACTGCGAGGTGGCTCGCAGGGTCAGGAGAGCCACGGTGTCGAGTCAAGAGTCACGATGAGCAGAGAGCATGCAGGGAACTCGTAACTCACACTCGTGAATATCAATTGAAGACTCACACTCACGACTGTTACCCTTACTCCGCGCGGTGGCTGTCGCTAGGTCGACGCGAGCAAGACCGTAACAAGATGCGAGATGCCAAGTCGCGAGCTTAGCGTGGAAATCGCGGCCACGCACCTGCCATACCATCAAAGCTTGCTAATTGTTGCAAGTCCGTTGGAGTAGGGCCACATCCTAGCCCTGCTGCGAGTTGCGCCTAGCTTGCCCAAAATCGTGAACTCGAGAAATCACAATGAAAGTGTCAAGAGTGTATAGAGTGGTGAGTGACTATATGAGGCTGGATTTAATTTAGGATCCGAAACCTGAACCGGACTCTCAGCTCCTAATTCGAGATTGTCTCTCGGTCTGTTCCTAACTTGGTTCGGGCTTTTGACTTTGATGTTTCAGGCTTGAACCGCTGTAGGTATTATGAGTAGGCCGTGAACGCCGGCAGCAGAGCTTCGTGCAGCAGCTATAAATCATGTGAATAGCCGCAACAAATACTCTTAATTGCTGCATGGTAGCGCAGCAGGCGATGCATGTGAGTCTCGTCTCACGCGGGGCTGCTGCACCACAACACGCGCGCGATCGAAAGCCTGCAGCGTAGCTCACGGCCGCGCGCGCCGTGGTAGACAATACCGACCACCGTGGAAACACACTCCACAACCGATTTGCACCCTCATACACACGACTCAGACTCACTCTGACTGACGTCTCGGAAGCATCGTGACACCTCACGGCATGATGCTCTTGCAGCAGCACTGAGTTCGTTGCGGGGCACTTTACCTCAGCGCCAGCATCTCCCTTCATCACGACATATTCCTGCCCTCTTTAGCCATCACGCGTACCCAGTCGTGCATTCGTAGAGCTCTGGAGCCCCACGCGGGAGCAAGACGCCTTGTACCACTCAGAGAGTGCATTTCGCCCTCTACGCCACGACTTTCGACACCGCGTCCAGCAGCGATAGAGCACCTTCTGACGCTCTTGTACGTTGGAAGTCTTTGCAGGCCCTGCTGAGCACATTTCAGTCTGGACGTTACTCTGTTTCAGGGGGTGGAGGTACCGTTGCCTCTCCTTGCCAACTCCTCTTCATTGGAGTAGCTCCCCTTCATATAAGTTCAAAAGCTCATCCGACGTAGCCATCTAACACTTGCCGGCTTCTCAGTCTCAATCATCTACTCGGCGTAGGTGATTCGTGGCGGTTGACCGACTCTCTTCACGCATACAACAATCACATCGAGACCCTCGCGAGGCGGTCAGGCGCATCTTGGGACGGCACCGCACCGGGCCTCAGGAGGACTGCATACTAGCTGAGTACCCTGATTCCGGGGTCAAGGCTTGCGTAGCTGTTTGGCGAGCTTCGCTAGCACTTGGAACTCACGGTCAGATCGCCCAGCATGTCCTCTGCTCGGGCTGGTGCTGGATCAGGTGGAGCTGCATCAGCGGGTAGGGGGTCGTCTAAAATGGGAAAGTCCATGTCGCCGCTTCCACCTTCATCACCCCCTTTGTATCGAGCATATTTGCCAGCCACCGATGGCGCAAATGGCTCAAGAAACACAGCCTCGAGCTCCACGCACGAGAGTGTGCCGAGTCCCGGCTCGCTCTCGAGGTTAGCAGCATCCATTGAGGACATGAAAAGGAGAGCGCAGGATTACAGAGAGAAGCTGCTCCAAGACGACAAGGTGGGGAAATTGTCGAACGCAATCTCTGCATCATTCAAAGACAAAGCGAAAGCCAGACTCAAGACTGGAAGCATCGGGAGCGGAAGCGCGTCACATCCTCTCCGCGCAAGCGCCACGCCATCCCTCGGCACCGGCTCTCAGAATGGAGGCG